CTCTCTCTCTCTCTCTCTCTCTCTCTCTCTCTCTCTCTCTCTCTCTCTCTCTCGTAGTTTCGCGTAGGTCGGTGCGTTTCCACAAAGGAGGAGAAAGAGAGACGGGAACGCGCGCGCGCGCGCGCGCGATCTGTTTTCACTTTTGTGTTTTCCGGCCACCCGGCGGGTTCCCGAGGGAGCGAGTCGAGGTCGACTGTCTCAGGGAGCGAGTCTGTCGCGCGCGCGCGCGCGAGAGAGAGCTGCGAGAGAACGTGTGTACGCGCTCGCTCTCTCTCGGGTATCCGGGCCGGACGGTTAGATCGCACGCGAAATACAAAAGGAGCCAATTATAATGACAATGCGCCTTCTTCAGCTAGGCCGCCGAGCGAGCGGGCATGGGAAAGAAATTCGCCACGTCCGTTTCGCCGGCGGCGCGCTAACTACGGCACTGCCGTCACGCGCCATTGTACCGTAATCGCTCTCGAATACGGACGCCGTAGTAGATACGTGCGCGTGTGCTCTCGAGTATGTTTGCGGGTGTAAGTACATTATACACGGGTGTGTACGTATACGCGACGAGTAGAAATTCATAGGACATTCGCGACACGAATTTTTCCTTCTGCATATTTATGCGTTTTGATGCTCCGCGCGCGCGGTCGGAACGAAGCGATTTCATCGAGTTTCAGCGACGCTGGGTCCTACAGAGAACACCGGAATTACGATAGTCTCGCGATAGTCAGCTGAACAGAGAGAAAATGATGTTGTCACACAGTCCGCCGGTGATATCTAAGTTAATCGATATAACAGACGTCCACTTGTACTCTTGACGCTTCTTCTAGTTCGACTACTACCGCTCTACTACCGTGTAACGGGCAGATAACACCAAACGACAACGAGTTAGAGACTGGATCCGCGCGAGACGATCCTTGGTGGATCGCGCGTCCGAGAGATCGTCATCGATCGGCCGGTCATCCGCGTCCGTCCGCGACGGGAATAAATCCCGAAATAAAGGGCCATTGTGTCGGTGGGAAAAGCGTCTTCCGCCCTTCTGACTCTGAGCCCAAGCCCAGGTTCTAATTCGTCATGAATGGGGCCGAGGGTGAAACGTGAGACGGAAACGGGTGCAAGTGCACCGTGGACCAGTGGTGCCTCCGGTATGGACGATGGTTAAGAGAAAATAAAGAAGAAAAGGAGCGAACGAAGGGAGCGAGAAACGCGAAGAGAGAACAAGGGAGATGGAGACGAAGAGCGAGAGGAGGGAGAGAAGAAAGGACGAGAAGCCGGAACCAGTTAAGGGAACGAGTTGCGCCCGAGTCCCTTTGCGCGAACCGGCTTCACCCTTCTGCATTCAACGCCACCTTCCACGCTTTTTCAATAAGACGCGCGCGTGTTTTCCGAGAGCGCGACGTATATATTGCGCGTAATTCCCTGTGCGACAATAAAAATGTGTCACACAGATTCGGTTAATTTTGCAGAATAATTTTTACACCAAGCTTATTTTGCAGCGTTGTTACTTAGAATTAATCGCATTCGAATAAATTTTCCTCTCTTTAATTGTATATTATAGACTATACGACTATATATATATGATTGAAATTACAATTTTCAGATTTTCGTGATTCTATATTATGCGAGAGAAGGCAGAATCTGGTGTTCAGGTATGATTCGACTTTTCAAAGAGACGACTCCAAGATCGAAGAAGGAGTTGGCTAAATGAGCGCAAATAAGGTCTCGTCGACTAAACGAGATCGCCAACGTGTCGGACATTTTCGAGAGAGACTTCTGTCGCGTCACGGCGATCTTGGGAACGAGTCAAACGACCGTTAGCGGCGCGCAGCCGTAATTTTGAGCATTATAAAAAACGTAAGTAGGAGTCGCTTGCAGTTTCAAGTTTTCTCGGCTAGGTGATTACGGTACATACCTTTGATGCGCTTCCGGGACGATGTCGTCGATCACGACGTAGATCATTGCGCCGGCTGCGAAAGCAAGTGCATAAGGTAGCGCAGGTGCGGCGAGCGTTACTCCGACTGCGCCAAGGACACCGGCGATAGGCTCCACCATCCCCGAGAGTTGGCCGTACCAAAAGCTCTTCAGCGTACTAATCCCGGCGGCTTGAAGCGGCAGCGCCACTGCCAGCCCTTCGGGGAAGTTTTGTATCCCAATACCGATTGCGAGATTCCTGTAACAAATTTCCAATTCCAAGCGTCCCTCTTAATTTGCACATAAATTTAATCGTCTATAAACATGTGGAGATAAAATAATAATAATTAAAATGACGAAATATCAATTTTTTCCTACTAAGCCAAAATTCCGCAAAATGGAAGCGCATGTCTACATCAGAAGAGTGAAGACGGTATGTTAATAACGCATCGTTAAGTAATGGAGGAAAGAGAGAGAGAGAGAGAGAGAGAGAGAGAGAGAGAGAGAGAGAGA